TAAAGCTATCATTTGTTACTATATTACTATTATCATATATGTAAGGTACTTTGGTCCACAACGTACAAATGACCCCAATGACCCGTACTCCTTTTGTATTCATTGTATTATCACCAAACTAACACTTACAGTTGTTTCGTTAACTTTACTAACTCTTTTATGTGAACACCCTTTTTTTTATCTATAAAACTCCACTGTATCCCTACACGTGATAGCTACACGCCTACACACCCCTAACCTGTCGGTACTAAACATTCATCTAAACATAAACACCGACTTGAACATACCAACCTTTCACCCTCCTACTAATTCGCTCACACAGCAATCTGTTCGTCAAACCCTCCCCCCCCCCCCACCCACACACACTACAAATGGAAACACCTCAGCAGTCAGATAACACAGCACAAAATTTGACGCTTGGCTTGCCTTAAAACACGCAGTCACCCTCTCCACGCCTCGTCAGACACATCTACCCACTCCCCCCTCTCCCCCTCTATCCACTTACCCTCAGACATGAAAACACCACTTTCCCTTTAACTGTTCCAACGACCCCACCACCCACCCCAACATCAATTTCGAATATCTATTCATTCACTTTTTAAAGTTCTAAATCTTGTTTCTTTCCCCTCATTTTTTACACAGCAACCTTTTGAAAACTCAATGCGACCAGTACATAAATAAACACTCTTTTAACTAGTCAACTTAATTTGTTTCCCTACATTGAAAATGCTCCACTGGCCCTTTGTCATTCTCGGAAAAATATCCTTTCCACTCCCCACCCAGACTTCTGACACTTTTATTTGACCTTCACCCCTTTTACTGCCATCTTTTGTAATTTTTGTTATAATCATATACATGACATCATGTAAATATTCATTATGTACATGTTTAAAACCTTTCGTTTTCTTTTGAAACTATGTAAAAAAAATGTGATGTTGATGTACTTGTTTTAATTGCAAATAAAAGTATTAAATATATATATATATATATATATATATATATATATATATATATATATATATATATATATATATATATATATATACATATATAGGGGCCCAAAAAATATCTGCGGGGCGGGGCTTTTCTAGTTCCGCCACTGCTTATATATATATATATATATATATATATATATATATATATATATATATATATATCAGACACCTCCCTTCCCCCATACACTTTTGAGCCCTCCTTCCCCCCCCCCCCCCATCCTAAACGTTTTTCCAATTTATTACGTTAATAGCATGCATTGTGTACCTATTCGCTCATATACGAATTTAATATTTTCGGTAGGCCTAATATTTATTACTAGGCATACTGCCTAGCTTCGCTATTACTATTAAGCCTTATTTATATATAAAACGTGTTTGAGAGAAAATAAGAAACTTCAGCACAGATCTAGAGCCCATTGCATTTTTCCCTTATGTGGCGAATTATCTAGACCTAGTTCTAATTAATATCTAATCTTTGGCCTAGATATCTGAAGATTAATGAAATCTGTCGGTAACTGAACTAGCAAGAGTTGCTATGTGTAGCCGGAAGCTTACACATTTTAAAGCCGAGTAAAAGACATAATCATTGACGTTAATATTATCTTAAATATTTTGTTTAAATTTATGAATATTATTAATATTCATAATTAAACATTAATAGAAAATAAAATATGGTAAAATCACGATATAGCGTCGGAAATTATTGGGTAATGTTCGTTGAGTTTCGGTAACATTCGTTACTGTAAACCATAGTTTATTTGACCGGTGAAATAAAAATAGAGTCAAGTGCATTAAATTATTGTTTTAACTTAATTTAATGTTTAACTGACAAAAAATTAGCAACAATTAGTAAATCTAAATATTATTAATAAAGTCGAGTGTAGTAATTAATGTTTTTTTTTAAGAAACAGAAAAAACCTGCAGAAGATTTGCGACAACCAGCTCTAGTTCTGTTAGTAAATAAGACGATTAGATTAACTAAAGTTAAAAGTAGTAAGAATAACTAGAATAATGTTTAGTAGCAGCAATAATTAGCACATACACTTAAAATAATTAGAAATACAAAATAATTAGCAAAACAGTATTTAAAATGCAACTAAAATCAATCCTTGCACATTTTTATTAAACATTATGTATTAAAAATAATATGGCGGCAAATAAATGATGGTTTACAGTATTTCCGGTGGTTTCCGGAACGGCTCGACAGACTACGCCATGGTTTTACTGTTTTTTACTGCTGTACAGTTCCGGAATAATAACCGACGCTATATCGTGATTTTACCTAAAATATTAATATAGATCTACCTAGATATAGGCCTGATTAATACTACTAGATTCTCTAATTGATCTATCGTAGGTAGAATCTAGAATCTAGGGTAATCTATCGTTTTGGGTACGTAAAATCGCCCGCGACTAGTAATGTGAAAAACAGGTGACTCCTTACATTTTAATAATTATTTCACATTTTGAGGAGGATTTATGTTTTAAAAATACAAAAATGTTTCCTTGTTTCATTTATGTACCTGTTTTTAAACAATTGAATTAAAATTTTTCAGTAATAAATGAAGACTAGCGATGTTTCCAACAGATGCAACCATGCTCATTTACTATAGCAGCCATCTTTTTAAAGTTTTATTTTTATAGACTTAAAGCGCAAGATTCAGGCGGAAGTCACTCTATATTACAAATGGCTGCTGTTTATATAGCAAACCTTGCTTGTAGACACTGCTGTTTAAAGTTAATTTCTGGCCTATATTGATATATTTAGCCATTGATTTAGGTTTATTATTCATTTATCTAGTTTTATTTGACACAAACATATCACAATATACTTCTATTACAGCCTTGACAATGAGGTAACGTTTTCGTACATTAATAGCCGCGGGCGATTTTACGTACCCAAAACGATAGATTACCGAATCTAGAAAATCTAGTAGTTAGTTTAGCGTCATAAATTCGACCAAAACTAGTAATGTGGGAGAGAGTGAATTAATGAATGTCATTAAATATGAGTATAATTTCGTATATTTTGATAAAATATCATAGATAATTGAATAATAGATCACTATCTATGGTTAAATCAATTTAAACATCCTGAAATTAATTTTTATCAACCCTGTAGTCTACTGTAGTGTAATAGTGTTCAAGATAGTAAATTTGCTATTAAAAACAGCAGCCATCTTAAGAAATTATTATTTAGAGTAGCTTGAAGCTTCCCTTACATTTCTATTCGTATGAAAATGTATTTAAAATGATTGTCTTGTTGTATAGTCCATCCTACAAAGCATTTTTTTAAAAATTCTGCCCATTAAAAACAAAATTATTAATTCTAGATGTATTGTGAGATGCAACTTGTATCCATGTATAAAATCACGTTTTTTTTGGTACTAATGTTTATTTGATCATTACTAGTACTAGGCTATATAGTTTGAGTTTTTTCTTATTGTTTGAATGTTCACTATTTTCAATTCAGGTTTTTCTTTTCATCAATTATTGATTCTATCGTAACTTATGAAATTTTTTTATGCTTCTCTTTACCTTAATCAAACCCCAACCTCCATCATATTTGTGTTGTCAATGTCATAAAAAGTCATAATGTAAAAAATTACGTTTCGCTCTGCCCTATCTAAGATCTCTAGCCATAATTTTGACAATAAATGTTTGTCATCATTTATATCAGGGGTCTCCAAACTATGGCCTGAGGGCCGGATGCGGCCCGCGATGTCCTCTCATCCGGCCCCCGGAGATCTTTTTGTTCACGGAAAAACCATTTGTTGGTGATGGCTGAGGAACTTTGCCCAGAAAAATCAAAGACATGCCTGGAAGAAACTGGCCCCCGAACTGAAATTTGATAGTTAATGCGGCCCTCGGATTGAAAAGTTTAGAGACCCCTGATTTATATATACAGAGAGACAAACATCATCTAAAACAATCAGCCACTCCACCCCTTAAGTGCGTGTTGTCATTATAGTCGATCCCAAATCTCCACCTCCAGACACATTTTGGTTATAGTGGCCTAGAACATATGCCACTTCTTTATAGCCTTCAGAAACAGCTATGATTTGAATGAACAGGGCCAAATATGTGTGTGTTTAATCGCCTGATTTCTAAAATTTTTTGCATCTGCCAAGTTCATTAAAAATATTGAGATCAAGTTATAACTATACTGATACTCTATAGATGTGTCTTATGTCTATTATTAAGAATAGAGTAGATCTAGATAACACTTTTTTTTTGGTTTCTGTACGTTAAATGTCCCATTTTAAGGCCAATAATTAGCCTAGGTTTACCTACACTACCGCACAAAAACCTTGAATGTATGTTAATCACTCACTGAAATAATGAGGTAGAACACACTTCGGTGACCGCCCATGGTTCTTAAAACTAACATAAGCGCCATAGTGCTCACAGGATAACCCAGAGCGCCACATAGCATCCTGAAACATTGATGCAGATTGCGTCATTTGCTTAAGTGACACAAATCAACAGAGTTTTTTTTTAACACATAGAAAACAAAGTTTGTTAAACATCAGTGTGACTGATGCAATTTGTTAGCAATACTAATGGTGTATTATTAGATGCTTGATCTCAATTTCTGATTGGATCGTCTAAAAATAGATGCTAATTGCATTATTAATTATTACATTGGGGGCCGAAACTGAAATATTTGTTTGTAGCCAAATTGCACCATACCGTCTGTCACACTGTTTAGAACGAACGTAGTTGCCATGTATATAAAGAGAGAGAGAGGGATATATATCTATAGAATTTTTTTTCCGGGGGGGGGGGGGGGGTGACACCAATAAGTGCAGCACTGTGTGAAACCTGACCTCGCTAACCCACTTTGTAGTGGGGGGGGGGGGGGGGGGCAGGGGGAGGAGGACATGGACATGTTTGAAATAAAAACACTGAGACCTACTCAATGTTATTCTATTTTTTTTTTCAGAATTCTCTAATAGGCTATATTAAAAAAAAAGTATTGATATAATTTTTGTTTTTAAACAGGGCTTAAATACACAGTTGTTACAGGAAAAATGGTAAAGAAGAATTCTACAATGCCAAATACTTGGAAACATGTTACAGAATCAGGGTATGCTAGGGATAAATTAGTAGCCCTTGCTAAAAGCAATGGTCATAATATCAACAATAATAGTTCAAGATTTATTCCACCTGGCTCTACAGCACGACAACACAAATGTGTTTCTTTTGACAACACTTTATGTTCTCATGCAACTGAGGAGCAATCTTCAAAGACTTACACATTTGAACCCAGTTCAGTAAAGCACACAGTCAATTTGACTTTGAAACCAGAGCATTATGAAGAGTTTCCAACAGGATCTGAAGAAAGTTGTCATTTTAAGTCTGAGAAACAAGATCATGCACACTTTAAAGGAACATTTCAAGATCATTTAGAAGATAATGGAAATAAAAGGAAAACGTATGAAAGTATGAAACCGCATGCAAGCACATCTGTAAGTTAAAGAAACATTGGCTTATCATCTCATCTATAAGCAAATATTAGCATACAGCCTAATCTCTATTCTGGAAGTGTTGGGTCATCTATAGACAAAATAAACATTTATTTCAGTCAAGGCAATCTATATTTAGCTTCTATTTAGCATCCTTGCAGCCTCTACTTGCTACATAGGCATTCCCCCCCTCATATAAGCAACTTGCTTATATCCTCTTATCCATAAGAGGATAGAAGCACAGGGTTCTTTTCCCCAAAACACAATTGATAGAAATAAGTGTGTTTTGTTTATTTCATCTACTATTGACAGAAATAAGCACTACCCTATAGGAAAATGTTACTATATAGCCTAATGTATAAGCAACTAATAACATATAGCCTTGTCTTAAGTTCTAGAAACATTAGCATACAGCGGCAACTAATAGCATATAGTTTCCCTTTCAAACCTGACGATCTATGGGGCAAGTGAAGTAGAGTTCACTTGTTTCTGTGACCTCAGCATATGAAGAGATAGTGTGGTCAGCACTATGCCCAGCCACCTTTACTTTCCCTAACGTGAGTTAGGTACCCATCAGGGTTGGGTGGACTCAGGGACGCTCTACTGACTTGAACCCGGATTCGAACTCGATATTTACGGGTTAGCAGTCCAGCTCTCTGCCGCTAGACCACTCCGTCCCATTAATAGCATTTAGCCTTGTCTTAAGCTCTAGAAACATTAGCATACAGTCAGTGGCTACAGCTTTGTCTTTAAACATTGGCATTAGATCTTGTGGTTTTCACACGGCCCATTCTATTGATTAATAATGGTTGTAGACCTTATTGAAGAGAAAACTTTCAAACTGCTGCCATCAGATCAATCAAAGAACTTGTCACTTACTGAGTTTGTTTTCAATTCCTAGAAAAGTCAAGAGAAACAGATTGGATCTCCAATAGCAGACCAACATTTACTGGGATATGACTGGATAGCTGCTTTATTAGACAATGACTCAACTCTAATGAATGAATCAGAAAGTTTTTTTGATGATCTTAAGCTTTTTAGAAACAGTCATAAACTTGACTGCTGTAATGACACTTACAGAGAGTAAGTTTTTTTCTTCTTTCTATCGTGAATTAACAATTACTAACCCAGATAATCTTGTTAATATAATTTATTTGCTGAGGTTAAAAAAGTATTAAAATAATTTAAAACATGGCATTTTGATCAGTAGGTTGTAAAGGAAAAGGCTATGCTCAGATTAATCATTCCATTTCTCTCTACTTACATGTGCACCATCTAAGTATCCAGTAAATAAACATTGCCAGCAAAATAGTCTAAATCAATCTCTTTAAAAAATAAAATTTACAAAAGAGCTGTGAAAAAAGGCTCCCGTTATTTATTTAAATTGGCTCCCATCAATATTGCTTCCAGCAAAATTGCATCTTTATTCCTAAAACGACAAATTGCATGAAGCTTAGATTGAAGTCACACACTGCACATTTGTTACACTTGGCTTCATATGTAGTTTTGGCTCGTTTGGGCCAGGTGTAACAATTATAAATAAATACAATCCACAACAAGAATCTGTATCATGGGTGTATAAATATCATCAATCACAAGAACCCATGACGAGTAGGTACACAATGTTGACACCACACCACATTGCTTCACACACTGCCTTGTTCACACACTTTGTACAGCTTGCACACCACTTTCAAGGGGAGGCTACTCTCACCCACTCTCTCAGTGCCTACACCTTTTCATTATAGACAATCCATGTCACAACTTGTATGTCATGGTTTTTTTTTTATGTTCAGGGGGGTTATAGAGTGGGTTTTTTTGTCCAGGGGTTTATATCGCAGGGGTTTTTGTCTAGGTTTTTTTTTTAACCCGACATTTTTATGTTAGTTTTGTCAGAAGCTCCTTTAAAGTATATATAGACCCTAATTACTAGAGCTCTTTTATGCTTACAGTGAACCCTACCGCCTGATTGAATTTGAACCAGAACCAGTGGTTGATGCTTTGACTAAATCAAGTAAGACTGGTCATGTATTTAGTTACCTATTTGTTTATCCATCATCTCACATTCTTAAAAGTAACTAATTACTTTGTGATGTTATGAAGACTGTTTCCTTTACTTCATTTAAAATAAAGCGGGTGTGATCTCCCCTGAACTTTCTCAGATACTCTTCTATATCAATAAGGGAAATGGCACTTCTAATGAAACTTTTATTATCAGTATTTAGGGAAATGGCACTTCTAATGAAACGGTACTTTTATTATCAGTATTTAAGAAACCGGAACTAGAGTAAAATACAGACTCCGGTTATTAGATATCACTCAAAAATTAAAAATAATCTAAGTATAAGATCCTATACTTCTATGTGAAATCTAAGTACAAGATCCTATACTTCTATGTGAAATCTAAGTACAAGATCCTATACTTCTATGTGAAATCTAAGTACAAGATCCTATACTTCTATGTGAAATCTAAGTACAAGATCCTATACTTCTATGTGAAATCTAAGTACAAGATCCTATACTTCTATGTATACTTCTATGTACTCAAGTTAGTGTTCACACAGAAATAAAGTATCACATCTGGAAACCGGCAATCTTATACAATTTGATAGAACACAGCACATAGAATTGAATATATATATATATATATATATATATATATATATATGTGTGTGTGTGTGTGATATGTGTGTGTGTGTGTGTATCCTAAAATAGTTATTGGCTTATAAAAAACCGGAAGTAGAGTATGTAGCACTTCCGGTTATTGGAAATAGCTCAAAAGCTGATACAGTTCTACAAATTTGGTATAATACTTCTAAATGAAATTTTGTCAACATAACTGAAACGGTACTCAAATAATCATGTTGAACAACATACAGTCAAAATTGCAAAACCACTCCATTCAGAAGGATGTAAAACATTGAAGTTTATCAAAATCTTTGTTTAGATTTTTTGTATGATTACAATGTATCCTTTTATGTTCTGTATATGATAAAGTAGGGAGGTGTAAAACTGCTAAAACTGTCAAAATATTTAACAATTATTATTTAGCATGATTACAGTACTTCCTGTATACTCTGTATATGAGAAAGTAGTTTTTCAGCATCTTTAGGTTAATAATAAAAATGGCAAGACTGGCTATAATTATTTTTAAAAATGTGGATAATCTGACCGGGGGGGATGGATTGGGTCCATGTGGACGTTCACATGCTGAATTTAACATCTAGTGTTTACATTTTAAAACAAAAAACGTATCCTGTCATGTGAACAATTAAGACAACGGTGTTTGTGTTTAAATAACCTCATCTTAATGTGTAAATAAAGGTGTTTGTGTTTAAATAACCTCATCTTAATGTGTAAATAAAGGTGTTTGTGTTTAAATAACCTCATCTTAATGTGTAAATAAAGGTGTTTGTGTTTAAATAACCTCATCTTAATGTGTAAATAAAGCACTGAATTTATACTTACATGATTTTAACGTCATGATTTTAACGTCATGATTTTAACGTCATGATTTTAATGTCATGATTTTAATGTCATGACTTTAACGTCATGATTTTTAACAATTTTTACCTCCTCCTCCCGACACATGTCACACCCCAACCTATTGTATTGTAAGTCCCTTCTAAGGAAATCTGCATTTGAATTAAATTGTTTTTTATTCTTTTATTAAGGCACATAGTTTATTACCAGCAGAAATTCTGTTCTCTAAAAAAAAAATAGATCAATATTTTTGGACATTTTAGTAGTTTACTAATTAAGCATGCATCTACCATGCAATTTCTTATTAGATAATTTGATTAGTGTTAATCTCTTAAAATTCCTGTAGGCCTACTTGTAATAATTTTCTAAAAATTAAAAATTTTCTTTTCTAAAAGAAAAATTTAAACTTCATCATATTTTTTTCACATTTGTTCCAAGATAATTAAGAAGTTTTTAAATTGTTAAACCTTGTGCTGATGTGCATATCTTTAAATAAATATTTCCATTGATATCCATTGATGACTCATTTGATGAGTTGTAAAATAAAATATCCTTTTCAACTTGTAGAGCTGCAGCCGTATTTGGTCAATGACAGATTGTTTACAGAGAAGTCTGGCTTGATCCAAACAGAAAATAAAAAGTGCCAAAATTTTAATGAGCCCAGATTTGTCAGGTAGTTTCAAATTATTACTGCTTAACATTTATTCTTTACCCTCTAACTATATTCTCTTTTTTCTCTTATAATTGTATCTATATACAATTTAATTGCTATTTTTTTTTATATAAGATGAACCCATGTATGTGTTGTAATGTAAAATTTATAAAATAATTGTCTTAAGAAAAGTATCAATAGTAAAACATAGTTTAAAACTTTTAATCAAACTTAATTGTGTTGGAGGGGATCCCTTCCAACACTAAAATTAAGAACGAGGAAGAAGAAGAAGAAAGACAATACTCCCTTTTAAATTTTTAGCACAATTACATAACTTCCTTTTAGATTTTTAGGGCATGATGGTTTGGGATTTAGAGTTACACATAATGTGGAATGGTGTTAGGTTTTGTTAGAATTGTGGTTCAAGAGTCATTATTAGTGGGGGGAGGTGTGGGTTGTGGACTGGATTTGAATGTATATTGTAGGGTGTGGTTGATTTGAATGTATATTGTAGGGTGTAGTTGATTTGAATGTATATTGTAGGGTGTAGTGTTGTTGATTTGAATGTATATTGTAGGGTGTAGTTGATTCGAATGTATATTGTAGGGTGTAGTTGATTTGAATGTATATTGTAGGGTGTAGTTGATTTGAATGTATATTGTAGGGTGTGGTTGATTTGAATGTATATTGTAGGGTGTAGTTGATTTGAATGTATATTGTAGGGTGTAGTGTTGTTGATTTGAATGTATATTGTAGGGTGTAGTTGATTTGAATGTATATTGTAGGGTGTAGTTGATTTGAATGTATATTGTAGGGTGTAGTGTTGTTGATTTGAATGTATATTGTAGGGTGTAGTTGATTTGAATGTATATTGTAGGGTGTAGTTGATTTGAATGTATATTGTAGGGTGTAGTGTTGTTGATTTGAATGTATATTGTAGGGTGTAGTTGATTTGGAATGTCGTTAATGGTGTCATGCTGTGTGAAATGGTGGGGTTGACGTGTGGAGCGAGGTGGTGTGGTTGTTGATCTTCTCTGTGTGTTGTTTTGTTTTTGTGTGGTTTGGTGTATGGTGAATGGTGTGTTTGGTGTGGGATGAGAGATGTGGGGTTAGTAAGTGGGGAGAGCTTTGAGATGTCATGGGATGTGTCTTGTTGGTAAGGGGGTGGGCTTGGGGTGAGGGACAGATTGTGTGGGGTTTGGTTTGTCAAACAATGGTTGTATGCAGCTATTATACATATATAATGCAGCTATTATACATATATAATGCAGCTAGTATACATATATACATGGGATGGAGTGGCCTAGCGGTAGAGAGCTGGACTGCTAACCTGTATGTCTTGAGGTCGAATCCAGGTTCAATGTAGTAGACTGTCCACCCAGCTCTGATGGGTATCTAACTCACGATAGGGAAAGTAAAGGCAGCTGGGCATAGTGCTGACCACACTATACCTGCATATGCCAAGGTCACAGAAACAAGTGAACTCTACTTCACTTGCCCTATAGACCGTCAAGTTTGAAAGGGAACTTTACTTACTTTACTTATACATGTATACAGTCAGTGGTATAGTAACTTTGGTGGTATAGTAACTTTGGTGGTATAGTAACTTTGGTGGTATAGTAACTTTGGTGGTATAGTAACTTTGGTGGTATAGTAACTTTGGTGGTATAGTAACTTTGGTGGTATAGTAACTTTGGTGGTATAGTAACTTTGGTGGTATAGTAACTTTGGTGGTATAGTAACTTTGGTGGTATAGTAACTTTGGTGGTATAGTAACTTTGGTGGTATAGTAACTTTGGTGGTATAGTAACTTTGGTGGTATAGTAACTTTGGTGGTATAGTAACTTTGCGTGGAAGCTAGATAATGTTGTCTTTTTTCAATGAAAAAAGATTTCTTTTAATTTCTTACAACACTAACCCTAAACCTTAAACCCTAACCCAAACCCTGACCCAAACCCTGACCCTAACCCAAACCCTGACCCTAACCCTAAACTTCAGTCACACCACCTGAGTACACATTAGATAGTGACCAGAAATGGAAAAATGTGCAACTGAATAATGTGCAACTGAATAATGCACACAGAATGTATACAGAGAAATAATTATCATTAAAAAAGTTTAAAAAAACCCACGTTTTCTGATTGAACTAAAAAGTAGAAAATAAATACTATACATCACAATAATGCAAGCGATCACTCTACTATAAGCGATGAAAAACGTGGGGCGTTTTTTATCGGTCATTGTTAATATAAGATGTAAAAGTTATATTACTATTGATTAGATAATACTATTGACTTTTATTAGGGAGCTTGTAGAGAGTCAACAGTATTAGAAACTGTAAGAAAATCACGGCGCCCCATGTTTTTCATCGCTTATAGGTCTGAAAGAAACACTGTGGGTGGCCAACAACACACCCGAGGTCCAACTTTGCTCTCAAATTATTCTTCACTTATTTCAATTTTGAAAATATTTGTTCACACAGCTATCTTGTTCCAAAATTTGAAAGGTACTTTGGTGCAAACGTTTTAATAGTAGGAAAATCTTCCTTTTGCAAAAACTTATAAAAACCCACCCGCCCTTCTTTGAACATGTCTCTAATGACCTCCGGCTGCAGTTCATCTTTGCAACTGGCTACATTTGCTTCAAATGGGTTCTGAAACAGTCTCACTTTTTTCTGTCTTTGGATCCAAGTCAGAAAACCGCTACTGAAACTGCAGTTGGAGGTCTTTAATGATCTCGTATGCAAATGACATGGGGAACTCAGTGGTTGCTTCAGCCGTAAAGACCTTGCACTACTGAGAATGCGTCAAGTTGTTGGCTTGTACTTGTTCCAAAAACATGACAAGTTTGGATCTGAAAGCCTTTAGTTGAGTGTATAGATCAGAAACTAAATTTCCATTTCTTTTAGTTTTAGGTTCAAAACATTTTAATGACTAGTTATGTTTGCAGCCAATTTCTATACCCACTCTTCATCAGACAGTAAGTACATCAGCTTGTGGCTTGCCTTTACTTTCAAGGAAGACACCTATTTTGTTTCTCAACTAAAATACTCTGCTCAGAAAAATTTCTCGCAAATTAGCCATCTTACTGCTGTGAAATATGGTAAATCTTGCAATTCTGTGTTTCTATCTTTTAACATGTCTCTGAACTATCTATATTCTCTCCGGTAACAGTGCCATACATTCTGTGTAGGGAAGCCAGCTCTTGTGTTATGTTTTTGTCTTCATCCACACCTCTAATGAACATAAGCAGTTGAGATGTGGAACAGCTGTCCAGCAACTGATCCATTACAATTAAAATATTGCGAAACTTGCTTGCATTTTTCGTTATTTGAGTCACGATGTTTTCACCAATGTCTGCAACACTGCGGGCAATGGTATTTGCACCCAAAGCTACATTTTCAAATTGTTTTGAATTTTCTGGACATAGTTTCTCAGCCACCTCTAACAAACATTTATTTCGTGGACAAAAAGATCGATGGTATTTGCACCCAAAGCTACATTTTCAAATTGTTTTGAATTTTCTGGACATAGTTTCTCAGCCACCTCTAACAAACATTTATTTCGTGGACAAAACGATCGCTGCGGGCAGGATGAGAGGACCTTAGTTTGGAGACCCCTGCTCTAAAAGCATACTTTTTATGTTCACATTGTAGCAAAGCACAGTATGTATCTCATGTATATATATATATATATATATATATATATATATATATATATATATATATATATATATATATATAATGTATATATATATATATATAATGTATATATATATATATATATAATGTATATATATATGTATATATGTGTGTGTATGTATATGTGTGTGTGTGTATATATGTGTGTGTGTGTATATAATCTCTACTGGGGATAGAGCCTACTGGGGATAGACTCTATTTGGGATAGACTTAAGTATACTCTACTGCCTATTCTTTACTGTGACAATTGGGATGAAGAGAGTAGAGTTGTTTGTTTGTTCATAGGATGGGGTTGTTAATGATTAAGGGAGTTGGGGTGAAGAGGTTTTTGTTGAGGAAATAAATAGTGCGTTTGGAGCGGAGAGAGCAATGAAGCATTTGATTTGCTGGAGAAGAACGGAGGGGTTTGGATGCTTTCTAGGATATCAGATCCATCCATCGATTTTGTACCAAGATTGCCTTCACGTCAAATATCCCATCAATTTTGTACCAAGATTGCCTTCACGTCAAATATCCCATCAATTCTATATAACGGTATTTTGATCAAGGTATTCAAGTCTGACAGGCTATTGACTTAGGGTTATGATGTGTCATTCCTTATTTAAAATGTAATTTTGAAAGGTATCAAATGTTGCTGCAGGGTTAGCATTCCAAGATCTGCTATACAGAAACCCAGTAGACCAAAGCCTCATCGAAGAGGAAGTTTTGATGCTCATGATTCTTGTGCACTAATGGATGTAAGAAAATATTTTTTGTCTTTGTAGTTTCATCTTTTAATAATAGTCTCATCTTTTTATTGCTGAAGTAATAGTTGTATCATTTTATTGCTTAATTAGTAGTTTCATCTTTAAACAATAGTTTCATCTTGTTTTGCTTAGCAAGTAATAGTTTCATCTTTATACAATAGTTTCATCTTTTTATTGCTAAAGTAATAGTTGTGTCATTTTATTGCTAAATATAATAGTTAATAACTTCTGCTATTTCTTACACCACTCACCCTTACAACACCCATCCCTTGCATTACCCATCCCTTGCATTACCCACCCCTTGCATTACCCACCCCTTGCATCACCCACCCCTTGCATTACCCACCCCTTGCATTACCCACCCCTTGCATTACCCACCCCTTGCATCACCCACCCCTTGCATCACCCACCCCTTGCATCACCCACCCCTTGCATTACCCACCCCTTTCATTACCCACCCCTTTCATTACCCACCCCTTGCATTACCCACCCCTTGCATTACCCACCCCTTGCATTACCCACCCCTTGCATCACCCACCCCTTGCATCACCCACCCCTTGCATCACCCACCCCTTGCATTACCCATCCCTTGCATTACCCACCCCTTTCATTACCCACCCCTTGCATTACCCACCCCTTGCATTACCCACCATTTGCATTACCCACCCCTTGCATCACCCACCCCTTGCATCACCCACCCCTTGCATTACCCACCCCTTGCATTACCCACCCCTTGCATTACCCACCCCTTGCATTACCCACCCCTTGCATTACCCACCCCTTGCATCACCCACCCCTTGCATCACCCACCCCTTGCATTACCCACCCCTTGCATTACCCACCCCTTGCATTACCCACCCCTTGCATTACCCACCCCTTACACCAACCACCTCTAACCAGGGGTGTAACTACAGTGCGGCCAGACCCCGCAAAGCCGACCATAATCAATTTTTTATAGTTATAAAAATTTAATTTTCTTGCATTTTTTACTTGATGGTTGTTTGTAAAAATAATACTTGAGCTGCTGTTGGGTTATCTTTATTCTATAAACACCATCCCAAGCTCTTGTATATTCTTTTTCCCTTTGTTTTTTAATCATTGTGAAAACTGAGTCCCCCTTCTCCTACAATCAAACACACGCTATTGTAAGCAAAATTCTTTTGAAAAAAATCTATTGCACGAGAGACCACTTGACTAATTTCCCTTTTTTTAAAATTGTCAAATAGGGGTGCTCATAAGCTCCTTTTAATAGATTTGTACTAAACAGTTTAAAAAGCAATTACTTCTTTTAATTATTATTTGAAAAAGAATACATACTAAAGAATGACATATTACAAAAAAGGAAATGTGTTTAAAATCAATAACATATATACAAAAAAATATATGAATAAACATAACACGAGAAACCATTACACATACAAAGCTTTCATGTTTCATATTCTTTTGACCGTTTCGATGATAGGAACTATCACGGCAGACATAAAATAAAACAGGTTTTCAAAACAAACAGACTAATGCAGGGGTCGGCAACCTGCGGCTCGCAAGCTGCGTGCGGCTCCTTTGATGTCAGGATCCGGCTCAGCAGTTCCATAATAATTATATAATTTTATTTTCACAACTCATCAAAATATTATACGGAAAAAAAAACTTTACATAAGATAAAAACACTAAGAATAGGTAGAGTGTATACAGACAGCTGCTTGGGTACAAGGCCCAGCTCCACGAATGTGCACTGGCCAGCCCCGTGGCAGTGGTTCCATGCTTTCCACTAACGAAGTGCACATTTTTTTTCAATATTTTCAATAGTAAAGGTTATTTTATTCAGAAGTGTATTCATTTGACTTGAGTGACATAGTTTTAGTTATTGGCTGCTAAATTGGGTAGGGATAGTGCTAAAGTAATATATTTGATTTTATTATCCTAACAGAGCTATCTAAAATACTTATGTTTTTATATCAGGATTCCCACACATTTTTTACCAGAAAATTCCCTGCTATTTTTCATATAAATTTCAACGCGCGTAACCATAGAACTTAAACTTGCCAAATTTAATTTAATTTACCACAAAAAAGCAGACATTTTTAGGGGTGCCAATCATTTTTTTAATTTTAAGTGAATCATATCCTAAAATTAAAACCCAAAACCAACATTTTTAAACCGTGAAACTTGATGTTGCGTCAGACATTTTTAAAAATAAAATTTGACAATACTTACTTACTTATCGAAATATTTGATTCATATTAATAATATTATGTTATATTTTTTAAATTTTAAATACATTCCCTTGGTGATTTTAAAGTTATATATAACAATCAAAAATTAATATTTAAAGAATTGTACATGTAACAAAAATAGTTTAAAACAGTAGACCCATCTTGATCCCATAATCATTATAATGTAATATTACAATTCTAGAACAATTAATATGAATATAGTGAGTTAAGCTGACAACAGTCACAATTTGAAACCTAATCTAAAATGTTGTAGAAATGTATACTGCAGTTTGTAACATATCTAAGTAGGCCTATTTAATTTTAGCACTTCCTATATTAAGTTCAATAAAATGTGTCGTCAGCCAAATATGCGTAGTTATTCATTCAACCAACAAACTGTAAACAGCAAATAATTTGCTTAGGGGTCATCCATAAATGACGTCACGCTTTTTTTGACAATTTTTACCTCCCCCTGTCACATGTCACAAAGCCAGACCCCCCCTCATTAAATGACGTCACGCTTTTTTTGACAATTTTTACCTCCCCCCGTCACATGTCACAAAAAGCCAGACCCCCCCTCATTAAATGACGTCACACCTCAGCCTACAACCCCCCTCAAAATTGCAGTTGAATTTTTTTAAAAATATCGATATTTTTCTAAAATCTTGTCTGAACTCTGTCAAAATAGAGTATTTTAATCAATTCATATTACAATTTATTAAAACAGTATTCTAAAATGCAAAATAACGCCAAATTTTGTTTTCTAACATTGCTTTTTTATAATGTAAAAGTGTGACGTCGCACCATCTGAACCCCCCTCCCCCTCATCACACACCGTCACAAAATTACGGACCCCCTCCCCCCTATGAGTGACAATTTTGAACGACCCCTTAAAGACAAGAAGTTTGGAAAAATATCCCTCACTGCTACTTTTGTACTAATTAATACCTTAGTATAGCTAATATCTAAAATAAAATTAGTTTTTTTTTAAATACTATGAAATAATACTGAAACAGTTGTTTTTTTAAAGTTCACAAAAATGAAAATTCCTTTTTTCAAAATTGAACTTATTTAAACTATAATGATCATTCTCAATGTTTTCAACTTAATGTTTATGTCGTTTCTTAGAGGTACCTGTATTTTTTAAAACTTAAAATCTGTGTTTCTCCCTAATTCATTATCACTGGCTAACCCTGAAATAGTCTGCTAGAAGGGTTATCCTTAAAATAGTATTACGCGATCCAAGAAAAATTCATGTGTAGCCTAAAGTAAATTTTAAACCAATCCTGGAAAAAAACCCAATGAAAATAAACCGGGAGTGATCTCTCCTAAACTTTCTCGAATATTCTTATATAAAACAACAGGGGATGGGAACTCGGGATATAGTTATGATTTTTAATCCATTTTAAATACTTAAACTTTTTAAAATAGAATCTCATAGAAAAAAGAATTGCGCACCAAGAGAACGCCAAAACAAAATGTGCATAATAGTGCAGAATATTATTAGTAATTAATAAATTTACAAGCGTTTTTTGAGAAATCAGAAATAGCGTAAATTACTACTTCCGGTCAACGGAAATTACTCAAAATTTGATAGAAGGTAGAGGATTAGATCTTTTACTTATGTGTGAATTTCATATATCTATCTGAAATAGTACTCAAGTTATAGGCTTTTGAAAATTCAAAGTGAAAAAAGTACCACTTCAGGTTATCGGAAATCGCTCAAAAGTTGATACGGATCTACGATTTTGATGAAATACTTATATATGAAATTTCATCAACCTAGCTGTAAAGGTACTCAAGTTATCGTATTTACACACACACAGACATACGGACAAGATTGCAAAATTATGTTTTTCTGTATCAGTGAGGTGTAAAACGTCGAGATTTGTAAAAATCTCGATTTTTTTTTTTTGCACGGTTACAAGACTTTCTCTATACTTCGTATATACGAGAAAGTAAAAATGACGTCACGCCAATGTTGAGTAACCTTAAGCTAGCATAGCAGTAGATGTACCATGTACGCTTGCGTGATGGGTGTCAAACAGAGGCAAATATGAGAACCGATGAGACTAGAATTTGTGCAGCAAAACTAGATCACGAGACATGGCGAGACTAGCGATTGGATAGGACTATACCTGGTTCAAATCTCGCGACACCCGAAAGGAAAAATACCCTGGGAAGCAAAATTTCCCGGTTTTTAAAGATATTTCCCGGCTATTCATCAAAATTCCCGGTTTTCTCAACCAGGAAATTAAATTTCAAAATTGCCGTTTTTTTTTGTGGGGTCGCCCTTTTTTTTTCTAGTTCCGCCACTGCCTCTTACACCCCCTTCTGCCCTTTACACCTTCACATGGATCTTATTCCATTCCTCCATCTGCCACCTATCCCCTTAACTGTGTAATAAAAAAAAATTTCTTTTGGAAAATGTATTTTTCTTCTTTCATAATTTGATTTGTTGCCTGACAAAATAAACTGTTATTGTAAGTAAAAATGTGTTGTCATTTAGAATTTATGAGAAAAATATAAAAAAAGTAATTTTTGGTATTTATTTGCTACAATGATTGCAACTAAATTGGTTTTCTCCAGTGTGCCTTCCTATGCATACTTGTATGCATAAATCTACACAAACTATACTATGCATAAATTATAATCATAATAAAAAGTATTTGTTTCTTTCCTACATTTATTTTTATATCTGTCATACATGTCTCCTTCTCACTTTTGACATCACGTGATGACCTATTTTTATCATCCGCTGTTGAACTGGCTGTTAAA